GTCTTTCTTGAACTCCAAGTTTGTTATCGCAGTCATGTTATCCAGCTGCTTTTGTCCATGTAGCATGCACTTGTTAAGATCTTCCACAAATGCTACTTTTGAGTTTTGACCAACTCTATTGCAGAAAGAAATTAAAATTAGCCTTAAAATGTTTTTCGTTCCACATTGTTTGTGCTTTCGAGTGACAGCTTGGCTTACATCTGACTTTAGTTTGATCAAACTTCTGTACTTATTATCTATAGCTCTTCACTTGTCAATAAAACAGAGTATCTCTAGCTATTAGAAGCAATTGAGTCTATCCCTTCTATTATAAATGTCCGATACTTGAGCATGTTCAGCAACGGATGGTGTTTTTGTTGTTTGAGTAAGGGCAGCCTGGTGCACGAAGCATCCCATATTCTCGCAGGGTCCGGAGAAGAGCCGCATTGATGTAGGCAGCCTACCTGATGCTTGCATCATTGGCTGATTCCACGACTGTTTTTGTAGTTTGAATGATGCATGTAATTACGGTCATTATTCTGAAATGTTATCTCTCCTTTTCATTTATTTACCATAACGTCATATGCCTTTTGATACCACAACAAATACACCATCCCGAACTTGTTCGCGTTTGTTCTATGAATCCTCTATATCCATTTATTTCCAATGTGATCTGTCATTTGATATATGGTAAATTTGATATATTTCAAAATTTTCACAATGGGTGTGTTTCAATTCAGATGGTCTTCCTTTCGAATTCAGAGCCCTTGAGCTTGCTTTGGAGCTAACTTGTTTGTCTCTTGATGCTCAGGTATGCGGCAGACTCACTCAGTGGCTGATTGAAAACTTTTTTTCCCTGTAATAAACTAGAATATTTCTGTCCATAGTAGGCAATAATACACTAGCACTAATATATGCCATTGATGCATAATGCAATAAGGATCATCAAGAACGGCAAAGAGGAGTTATAGAATATCTTAAAGCTTAGTTGCAGTTTGACCCATTCTAAGTTAAGAGCTTTCATTGTTTTGTTGGTTACTAAAAATGGATTCAAGATACCGATCAAAAAAATGGATTTCAAAATGCTTCTCGTCAATTGCTTTTGGATGTTAGAAAATCCCCTCCATGTTGTTTATTACTCAGTTTTATTACTACCATAATGTGAGGTGTTGGGCCGAAAAATATAAGAGCATGCACTTTGACATGGTTTTCTTTTCTCTGTATCCAGTACCTCAAACAAATTAAAGTAATTTCTCAATTAAACATATGTTCTGAATCAAAATTTATTTTTTCATGTCGTTCTTACTTTAACAGGTGAAAGAATTAGAATTGGAAATATATCCAGTGCTTGATGAACTAGCGTCATCTATTAACACTCTAAATCTGGAACGAGTCCGTAGATTGAAAGGTCAGCTGCTTGCCTTGACTCAGCGAGTCCAAAAGGTATGATTGTAGTACACAGTCTGATAACGCTTGGTAACTTCTTAGGCTGCTTTAAAAACTTTTTAAATAAATGTTCAGGTCTGTGATGAAATAGAACATCTAATGGATGATGACGGTGACATGGCTGAGATGTACTTAACAGAGAAGAAACAAAGGAAAGAGGATTTTCTTAATAATGATTTATATGATCAACCAGATATATTTGGCAAAAATAGAGGAGCAGCAAGATCTGCTCCGGTCTCACCTTTATCATCAACTACGGGGGTGCAGAAGTTGCAACGAGCATTCAGTAATGTGAGCTCAAGCAAACACGGAAGCTTTTCAGCTTCATCTAATGGTCAAGAAAATATTGACCAACTTGAAATGTTGCTTGAAGCATATTTTGTTGTCATCGACAGCACTCTCAACAAGTTGTTATCAGTAAGAGATTCTTATGTTACTAGCTTTTCTTCTTGAATATTGTCCACAAAATCTTATATTTATAGTGCAACATTAATTAAATTAGAATAAACTAAACAGTTCCTGATAGATTCAAGAGATGCTTTTAGAGATAAATTACCATTCTTACCAACAAAAAAAAAATCAACAATCTTAAATTTTATTTCCTAATATATAGCCTCAGGTTCTGGTTTATGGATAAGGGGAGAATTATGGGAATAATCTAGCACCTGATTAATATATTAGTGGGTAGACTAAGTAGACCTTATATTACTATTTACAACTAACAACAAACCCAATGTAATCCCACAAGTGGGGTCCAAGGAGGGTAGTGTATACGCTGCCTTATCCTACCTTGCGAATATAGAGAGGATGTTTCCGATAGACCTTATATTACTGTTTGACCCCTACATTTCTTCCCAACCGTGGGCGACTCATTCACTTTCTCTTTTTTCTTTAGGATGTAAGTTGTTTAGGTACTTAGTCTACCCCTAGTTATTAGCTTTTTATGTTAATAATTCTGGGAGAATATACTGCGGACTACACCGGGTTCAGTCAAACTACTTATCTTAGTCTCAACCGAACACATGACATGAGAGATCTTCAATAGAGTCAAAAATTGCATAGGCCGAGATCTTTCCCAAATAACCTATGTTGCGCGGGCTCTCCAAAATGCTACCGCACCCTTGTCGTATCTTCAAAAAATACCCTACTTTTGGAGGATCAAACACACACCCGACCATATTTTCGGAGAGTCTGATCAACACAACCAATAACTCAACTCATTTCTTTAANATTTGTGGCTGCTATATTTGCTATGGTGACTGGAATATTCGGAATGAACTTGAAAACCACAGTTTTTAACGATCCAGATGGGTTTAACTGGGTTCTTATCATCACTGGAATCTTTTGTTTGGTCTTGTACATTGCTTTCTTGATTTACTTTAAGCATAAGAAACTCTTTCCACTGTAAACAAATCGTAACATTTAGTGTGGAAATTGCCATGCGATCATTTGATTCTTCATTTTCTCATCTTGCTTGGGATGCCCTTTATGCATTAAATTTTCATTAGCTTTTATTTGAGCTATTATTGCCCTTTTCTGCATTTGATTGGGAAAAAAGCGGCGAATTAGTAATGTTGAATAGGGTGTATTAGTAATGCTGTGATTAGTTATGCGGAGATTATTTCTTATTCACTGTTTGTTTTGGTATATTAAAGCATTGCATAATTTCTAAAAAGATGGCTTGTTTACAAAAATACTCTTCACATTCTTTAACTTTATACATTATTTTTATTTCAACAGTTACTCATTCAGTTATATAACTAATTTCATGTTCCACTTTTTTAAAAAAAACTTTTTTTTTTGTTTTCCCCAATCAAATTGCTACTAGTAGTAGTAATTTTTGTACATGTAACTAGTAGCTAATCTCTTTCTGCCTATTAGCACAGAATCAAATTGCAACTAGCAGATCATATTTGCATTAATCAAAACAAAGCAAATAAATAAGCCAAAAATATACACGTTCCCACATGATAATATATCAATAACTAAAAGTATGGAAAATGGTCAAAACTACCCTTGAACTATTGACTAAAAACACCCTTCGTCCACCCATCAATCTAAAAATGCATATGACTACGGTCAACACTAAATAAAAAAGTTTTATATAAATACCAAGTGGCATTTTCTCATTGGTCGAATTTAAAACCCTGACCCCAGTTAAAAAATCCACCCATATGTAGAGATTTTCGGACCCATATCCAACCCAAATCTAATTCTTTTTTTAAAAAAAATATTTAATTGTTTTTTGAACCAAGCTTTTATAATTTCAGCAATGAATTCTTCTTCCCAAACTCAAGTTTTCAGATCAACAAGTAACTTGATTCCCAGCTCAATAACAAAATCAAATCAGTTTTACGCATCAAGTCGCCAAATGAACTTGAAATCGCAAACCAAGTGTGAGCTTGAAAATATCAATAATAGTGGATTCAAAGTTCTTTTTCAATTTTCGAATCTCAGCGGCAACTAAGAATTAGAATCAGTTTAACAACTTGATTCTTAACTTCAAACTACTAACACAATCCTCGAATCTGCTCAGGAACTGAATTTCGAATTTCACAGTGATTAACCAAAAAAATTATTTTTTCAAGTCAACTGAGCCGCTCGGAAAAAAAAATTACTTCAATATTTCTCAAGCAACAAATAAGGTTGGAACCAGTTAAATTCACTTTCTATAAGTAATTTTCAATCAAACTTGAAAAATCCTTTTAGCAAATGTGTTTTAGAAGTTTTTTCCAACAGTGATAAACGAGAAAAGTGAAGTATCTTTTTGGATTTTTTTTTTCTTTCTTTTGTTGTAATTATCTCAGGCTAAAACTAAATAAATTATAGGAATAATTCTTTAACCTAGACTCTTGATACCAAATGATACCAATGGGTGAAGTTTATAGGGTTTAGCTTTGGGTATGAGTCCGAAAACGTTAACATTTGGATGGGTTTATTTAATTTGGGTCAGGATTTTAAATTGGGCCAGTGAGAAAATATCACGTGGTATTTATATATACTTTTTTATTAATTTAATGTTGACCATTAGTCATAGGGGTAAAAATGGGCCAAAAAATAGACGGCAAATGAATTTTTAAACCGATAGATGAACGAAGCATATTTTTAGCCCTAAATCAATAGTTTAGGGATAATTTTGGTCCTTTTCCGCTAAAAGTATTTTACTATAGGATTCAATAGAAGAAAGGAATTAAGCACAGTACTCATGCTAAAAATAGTTTACTAAATTGAACTTCGCCTAACACTTTGATATCATTCAAAAATAGTTGGGATACTCTGAATCGCTGATTTTGGACTGGCTGCAAAATATGGCGGAAAGTATTTGGAATAGGTTTTGAGAAATTTGAGGAGCAATTATGTCTTTAACCATGTTTATGCAAGTATTAAAAACCTTGCATTGCTAGTACTATGGCTTGCTACGTATTAATAAACAAGATATATAACTAATACTTATACATATGTTGAAAAAATATACGGACCAAACAAGGGATTAGTAATGCAAAAAGCTAATCTTTTCCTTTTTAATAACTAACAAAAGGGTTGGGTGGGGAATTCTTCTTCTTGAACATCTCAAGTAAAATGAATTAACACACTCTTCCCAATATGTTTATTGCTCTATACATATTTCCTCAATCTTTGTATGTACACTGCACATTTTGTCTCTATACTGAAGAGAGTATAAGAAGATACAGATATAACATCAAAAATAATGGAAGACAACAATTGATCAAGTTCTCAAAAATATGTCAAGTATATCCTCATTTTGTTGTCCATTTCACATTCTCCTTGCTTAACATAATATCAATAAGATCATTTCCCCTCCACATCTGGTCTATCAATCAATTCTACATCAAAAGGAACCATTTTTTATATCAATTTCAAAAGTAGTTTCATTGGCCTCATGATAATAATATGGACTTTGTGAATATGCAGAAGACTCCGATTCACTCGATGCATAGTCCATTTGAGATAGAATATGTTGTGCTTCCAATGAACAAGCTCTGATTTGGCTGTTGTAAAGAGCTGTTTCAAGGTCCTTGATTTGAGCTTCTAGCCTGGATTCTATTACCTCGTGTAGGCGCAAGCTTAGTTCCCTCGGGGAAATAGGATAATTGGCAGGTTTAGAATGATAAATCCTAGTTGCACTAGTATCCCATTCTGAGCCTGATGAATCAGAACACTGCACATTGAGGTAATCTAGTTTGAACTCTCCTTGAGCCACATCTACTTCATCTTCTGAATCTAGCTGCACAATTGAAACGCATAAATCAGAATACTACTCTAACTAGACAAAGAAGGAAGAGTAAAGAGATTAAAGTTTTGTGATAATAAGTTAAACAGCAGTAGATCTCCAAGTATTGTTGACATAGACACCAAACCAGCATAGTTTGAGTAGGATTCAATCAATCAATCAACTACACCTCAATCCCAGACTAGAAGACGTCAGCTATATGAATCCTTTATATTTGTCGCTCTTTGAGGATTTGTCATAATTAAGTTACTTTTATGTTGTCTGTTAACCTTCTACAAATGTCCTTTTTCGGGGACTAGAACCGACTATACTTTGCACAAAGGTGGAGTTACAAGTTTGATTATGATAATGAAGCCAAATTCCTGAAGTCCACCGTGTAGGACGAGAACAGCTATATAAATGCAGGGCTTACAATAATCTCAAGCAAGTTGGGATCGACTATATGAATCCTAACTGTCTATGTCGTTCCATTTAAGCTCGCCTCAGTAAAAGTGTAGCTAAATACAGGCTTACCTCAACAAAATCAGATATACTTTCAAACTTCATGCTCATTTCCAACCTTTCCAATTCAGCTTCAAGCTCTGCCTCAATTTCACTCATCGATTCGTGATTCTCTGCTACCACATGATTTGTGTTTTCACTAGTTTGTCTTGTTGTTTCATTAACTTGAACTTCAGAAGAAGATGACACTGTCTCAACATCTGACACAGAGAGACTATATAGATTTGGCTTTTCATTACCATCATTAGCAACTTCTTTCACAGTGAGCTTCTCTTGTAACTCTTCAACTAAATTCTTGATCCACTTTAACTTTTCATTCACCTTTTCTATCTCTCTCCTATTTGCAATAATAGCAGACATCATACCAGTAATGATTCCCATATACAATACAGCCATTCCATTTGGTAGCCCTGCTTGAATCATGTCAAAGTAGAAACATAAATAAAGCATTACTAAGTTACTTTATATGCATAGAAAATAGAAACAACAACAACAAACCCAGTGTAATTTCACAGGTGGAGTCTGGGGAGGGTAATGTGTACGCAGACCTTACCCCTGCCTTGTGAAGATAGAGAGGTTGTTTCCGATAGACCCTCGGCTCAAGGAAGTGAAAATGGATGAATTTGCATAAAATTCAAGAGATTCCTTAAGTAGAAACTTATTTCTCAAGAAAGTGAATGAAACAATAAGATGTGAGATCAACTAAGATAGTTGAGTTTAACTTATATACACCGACAATGTAAAAGAACTTTCGCACTAACATGTCACCTTATATGATTATTATACGTAACCATCCATAAAAAAGTGAGATCAGTAACTTGGAAAGTAAGGTAGGTTACATGCTACAATAAGTTAAAATATATTGATAGCGTAATTTTTTTTTATATTATCAGTATATATAAAAGTTAAATCCAAATAAATTTTGGTATAATAATTGAAGCTGAAAGAACCTGTTGAATTGAATGGTCTACTAGAAACTTTGTTCCTGGTAATTGTATGCTCTCTTCCAGTATAATCTTCTGGTTTGCATTCGACCGCAAATTCAAAATTTGCTGATGAATCAAGATTAAGATGTCTGAATCCGAAAACCCCTTCGTCAGAAACTTCGTTTTTAGCTCTTTTTCGAGCTAATCTTCGAAATGGACAAAACATTTCACGCACTTGGTACATCAAATTCTTGTTATCTGATTGTTCATGTGTTGAGATTTTAGGGAATTGCTTTTGCTCTAGTAAGTTGTCCTTATTGTCTGATGAACTTTGCAAATACTGTGCTACATAACCAGCACCTGCAGCTGCTACAACAACCCAAAACTCCATATTCTTGAATCTTCATGCACAAGAAAAACTACACCTTATTTCCTTACAAAGAAAAAAAAATGATCTTTACTTTCTACTATGTCAAGATTACTAAGATGAGCTTAAATGAAGCGGCGTGAGCAATGAGGATTCACTCAATCGATCCCAATTTACTTGTGATTGAAGCGTAGTAGTTGTTGTAGTATTTCAGAGATTTTTTCCCATCGAAGGGTAGATTTGGCTATTACATGTAGGAGGTAACAGGTATACCGTGAGATAGTCGGAGGTTGCACAGATCATGAACATCACCGTTAGAAGAAAAAACATGAATATGGAGTATAGACTCTAAGTTGAGAACATAATATTGATTAAAGAGGAGAGAGTTTCTGCTAAAATTTATTGGATTATAGATGATCTAAAAAACAAGTTGGACTAGGAAAAAAAGAAAAGAAAGAAATGGAGAAAGTATGAACTGGAAAATGAAAATCTAGTAATTAATTACTTATTCAAAGATAAGGAAGACGTGGAAACTATGATAGTAACATTGTCCCTTCTGAAAATCCACAAAGAACATAGCATAATTCCATAGATGACGACATAGAGTTAGATCTATTAGATTAATAAACTTTATGGCTTATTAAGAAAAAGAAAAAATGATTTTTCACAAGCCGTGCAATCGGCCACTAATTAGGCTGCTTACATCACACCCCTTTGGAGTATCGCCCCTTCCGCGAATCCTGAATGAACGCGGGAATGCGTCATACACCGGGTTGCCTTGTCTTTGGAGGCAAAATAACAACATAATTTAAGTTATAAACACGGATAGTATAAAAAACTCTCACCTATATGCAAATTAGTTATCATTTTTATCAATTTACAAATTTATCTTTAAAATAGATATTTATTACAATTTTATTATAAATGACCAGATTATATAAATATTTATCACACTATTAATATATAGAACTTAAACTCTTAACAATATTAGAGTAGCTCAAAAAAACACTCTATACAGAACCATTTATTCCTAAAAGCAATTGCCAGTCATTTTTTACGAAAAATAGAAGGAAAAAAATAGGTGGTATTATGTATGGTTATCATAGTTTAGTCACCATGACCACGTAGCTTGTTCTTGAAAGTGAAAGCTGGAGCCAAAGAAATAAATTTGAATAAATATTAGTATTAATAAAAAAAAGAAAGACTAATAAGTGGACTTTTCCAACCCACTACAATGAAGTCCAAACATTTTCTTTTTCTCAAAAAAAAAAAAAAAAAAAAAGTGAGGCCCTAAATGATTCACGTATCTTTTGAGATAATTTTAATTTGTATATTATTTTTTTCGACGAATTTTTAAATTTAATTGTTATTATAGCTACCAAAATAGCTGGCGCCAGAAAAATTGTGAGCCAGCATTTGGCTAAAAATTCGGCAACACAACTAGAATTTAATTACCTGGTTTGAGATTGGATCCCACTCTAGATTGCGTTTGTTTCAAGAAACAGGTGAATTTCTTTTTTTTCCAAACATTATTTCTGAAACCTTTTTCTTTCAGATTTTTTAGCACACTGAAAAATTATTTTTGAGGTGCTTTTCAGCTTTGCAAAAATAAAAAAGCTTCTTTCTAATAGGAGTAGTATTTAGTTGGAAAACATTTTTCCATAAGTTTTTCAAAACAAATGATGGGATTGTTACAAAAATAGTCGGCCAGATTCATTATTTTTTTTAGTCGATATACATAGATTATATACGGTTATATACATATTATTTACGAAATATATATATATATATATATATATATATTATATACATCCACCGGCTATTTTTATTTAAGAGATTAAGTGGGCTCCTAAGTGAGTTAATTCTTTAAACATTTTTCATTTTTTTTACTCCTATTTAGAAGCGAGAATAAGGAGGTCTTGGTCGTTCAGGGCTACTTCGGTCTTTTCAACAAGAGCAATGTACGCCTAATTTTTTTCTATTCCATTCGGTTCGCGCTCGCGGCTCTTCATCTTCTCTGACGTGTAACATTAACCTGCTCTTGCTTTTGGCGCTTTGAGCTGTTTTTCTAGCTCGACAATACATGCGTTCTTACGGGGATCTACAATATATTTTTAGGGTTAAACATTATCTCTTCAGCTTAGATAAATTCGATGCCCTTGTTTTTTTGCATATTTGATTTTTAATTTTAAGGTTATATTTGACAGTTTATTGAACTGTTTAGCTGTGATCGTCGAATAAATTCTGAAACATGCTCTGTTTTGCTTGGGTTTCCTTTTCTGCTATTTATCTTGTCTTGTCGTCTCCATCTCTGCTCGTTTGCTGATAGGTTATTACTTTGCGCTTCGTATTTCATCTCCTTCTTCATATTTGTGTGCCTGAGTTAATGGAAAAAGTAACTTTATTAGAAGTACTATTCAACTTTTTTGATAGAAATACATAAAGGACCATACTGTTATAAAATAAAGACTGTAAAGTAAAGACAAGTATAGAGAGAAACTGATATATTATTCAAACTTCAAACTTCTGTACATAATGAACTGAAAACTCCTCTATTTATAGAAGAAAGGAAGCAGCTACGAGGCTTTTCAGGAAGCAGCTGCAAGGCTTTTCTTTAGCTGCTTGTAAGATGTCTGCATGAGCTGTTTGCAACCTGCATGTTTAATAAGAAGCTGCTGCAAATTATTTCATTGAGCTGCTTGCGACCTGCCTGCATCAGCTGCTTGTAGATAAACTTCAACAGAGTACTAAATGGATAATCTTCTTCAGGAAGATTATCTATAGCGGAGTAATAAATGAACATCCACAATATAATTATTTTCATAATACTCCCCCTTGGATGTTCATTAAAAGGTATTGTACCTCGTTAAAACCTTACTAGGAAAAATCCAGTGGGAAAAATCCTAGTGAAGGAAAAAGAGTAAACATATTTAGTAATACGCATTTCTAGATGCCTCATTAAAAACCTTATAAGGAAAACCCTGTAGGAAAAAACTTTAGTAAGGAAAAAAGAATACATCGCGTATTTTACTCCCCCTGATGAAAACCTTGTTTCAAATATTTGAGTCTCCGCATTCCAATCTTGTATACCATCTTCTCAAAAGTTGAAGTTGGCAAAGATTTAGTGAATAAATCTGCCGGATTGTCACTTGAACGGATTTGCTGCACATCAATGTCACCATTTTTCTGAAGATCGTGTGTGTAGAATAATTTTGGTGAAATGTGCTTCGTTCTATCTCCTTTTATAAATCCTCCCTTCAATTGGGCTATGCATGCAGCATTGTCTTCGTATAAAATTGTGGATCTTTTATCACACTCCAAACCACATTTTTCTTGAATAAAATGAATCACTGATCTCAACCATACGCATTCCCTACTTGCTTCATGAATAGCTATTATCTCAGCATGATTTGAATAAGTAGCAACAATTGACTGCTTTGTGGAGTGCCATGATATGACAGTACCTCCACATGTAAACACATACCCGGTTTGAGATCNCCTCTCACGTAAGGCTAAACTGATGAGATATCGAAATGTTATGGCATCCATAACGGGTGAATATGTTTTTTCATAATCGACTCCGGGTCGTTGTGAGAATCCTTGTGCGACAAGGCGAGCCTTGTATCTTTCAACTTCATTTTGCTCATTCCCTTTTCGCACAAAAACCCATTTATGACCAACTGGTTTTATACTAGCAGGTGTTTGAACTACTGGTCCAAAGACCTCTCTTTTAGCAAGTGCATTCAATTCTGATTGAATTTTCCCTTTCCATTTTGGCCAATCAGATCTTTGTTGACATTCTTCGACAGATCGGGGTTCAAAATCCTTACTATCTTACATAATGTTAAGTGCAATATTATATGCAAAAATATTATCCACTACTATTTCAGATCGATTTAAATTAATCCCATCACCAATAAAACTTATTAAAAGTTCCTCGCTCACTTGAGCCTCGGGTTTATTGGTTTCTTCAGGAATCTCATAACTAATCAGATCTTGGGTCTGTTCAGGAGATCCCTTCATAATATCATTTTGATCATTTGTCGATTTTCTTTTTCTAGGATTTCGATCCTTAGAACCCATAGGCCTACCACGCT